TGATTTGTTTAAGCCGCGAACATTCCATACGAATCCTAACATATGATTAATTTTGAGACTTTGGACCCCTTCTACTTGAAGTACTAGATTTTGAATCTCTAGCACTAAAAGAAACCGAGTCGCCCAAAGGCTTAGTACTGGCTTTAGAAACACGAGGCAGAGGAGGCCTGATCGGACCCTCTTGCTTATCCTTTTGTTTTTTCGCCAATTGTTTCACGTTCAAACCATCATCACTTCCATCCAAAGTAGTATCTTTCTCTGGTTTGTCGATGCCTATCTCAGATGTCTCTGTTTCAGCATCATCGTCCCCTGTATCAGATGCCGCCAGAATTAGAAATCTCGAAGGTGACACAGAGATATTTACGTCTCTACCACCATCCTTTTCAATAGTTCTGCCAATTTTTTTGGTGAAACCCACTCTCCTTCCTCAATATCATGTTTTTCCTGCTGAACTGTAACTTCCAGAGCAACTGTCGCTTCTGGTACATTATTCTCGGTGAGTTTCTCAGAACTGTCTTCTTGAGGAACTTGAAATGTCTTTGAGTTACCATCCGCCAAGGAAATCCCTAGACCTGCAGCTTTCTCTGTTGGCAAAGACGGTGATGAAACGTTCACGTTTCTTTTAAGAATAACCTTCTGTCCACCATTCTTCATACAATCTACTACTGCATGACCCCACTTCTGACAATGAGAGCACCTCGGAGGTAGCCATGGATATTCAAACTCTACAAACGAATCAATCCCCTTCTCCGATGTGAATCGATACTCTGTAGGCAACTCTTTAGTAAGATCTGCTTCAACAAATACCTTCGCTTCGTCAAAACTTTTGCAAATCAATGTGTCCGGATGAAGCCGAGTTGGTTTACCCACTGCACTAGCCAAAAAACTCAGCCCTCTGTCATGAAACATTTTATGTGGAACATTTTTAAGAGTTATCCACAACGGCATAGTCGTGATAGCTGGTTGAGCTTCCTCCATGACCGGAGACCATTTTGATACGACCATGGGAACGTTTGCTATGTTCCACATACCCCGTCGGATAATCCTGTTACGCACAGCTTCATCCCTGATCTTAAACTTCATCGTTTTGTTATCCACCACAAAAACCTCAACCTTCGTATTATTATTCCCCACTGGCCACATCTTGTTAACAATCACATGGACCTTCACAACATGTGGCGCAGGTGATAAGAATTTCCCGATTAGGATCTCGTCCCACAAAGGGGTCGAACCTTCCAAGATGTCTTCCGGTATTTCCACTGATGGAGAACCTTCAACCATCGAAACTACTAGATCATACTGCATCAAGCCAACCTTATTCTGAACAATAGAGGAGTATAGAGCCTTCGAAGCCGGATTCGAAATCGCGGGAAGCGAATCCTTCAAACCCTCCAAAACCTTTAAACCATCAACCCCCCGAGCCTTCTCCTTCACTACAAAACTGCTGATCGATTAGAGCCGGAGACTCGGAGGAATCACCGGTGGAGGAGGCAAAGAGCCCCTGGAAGCCGCCATACTTGCGGCCGAAGAAAGACACACAGAAATCCTAGTCACCTTTGAGATCACCTTACCACGTTACCAGAAAAAAAAAATCTTACGTTTTATATAATTAAATATTAACTAAAAACCATCAGAGTTTTTTTAAGAACCACTAATTAGTCTTTTACTGGTCCGCGTCTGCGTCCAATATTGTTATATTTCCAATACGGTCTTGTACGTAGTGTTTACGTAAATTAGAAGAAATTACATCACTTTGTTACACGTCTTCATTTGTCCATGCACATACATTATTATACATACTGTACATATAGATTATGGACTTTTTGTCGTAATTGTTAATTTTCTTGATTTATCTACTTCGTCCACTTTTTGTTATTTCCATTAGGTATCTATTACGGTTTTTGTATTACTTCCACTGCGAGCTGGCAACTTTGAAAATTTACATTCTGTTACTAATTTTTATTTTTTGTCTTTGAGTTATCCATTTTTTTTGTTTATTCTGCGAAAATGTAAAAGTAAGTCACTTTGTGTGAGACCATGCTTCCTTCTTTCTTACCAGGAACCAGACAGACCGGCTATCAAATCCATAAGACCTTAAATCCGCCTTTCATCTAGATTGGCTATCAACTCTGAACGTCCCCAACCGCCCCTACCAGTGACCGCTACGCCATATAATCTAGGGCCCAACGTCTTCTCTCTAGGCCCGTTGACCAACCAACCGCTCCTACCAGTGACCACAACGTCCTCTCTCTCTCTAGGCCCATTGGCCCACCACTGTCCGACGGTTTGCCTCTTTCTAGGCCCATGGACTCACCCTTGTTCGACGGTCGGGAATCGTTTGGTCCGGAAGGCTCGTAAGAGTTGTCTACTGTCCCTGCAATCACCACGTGATCTTTTCCCATGCTTTGTCTTCACTCGCACGGTACCGCAGAACTTCCCGGTAGGTCACCCATGCTGAGATTGCTCCAGCATACGCACGCTTAACTCTGGAGTTCTCTCAAGACACTTGACCGGAAAAGATAAGTGCACTTTGATGACATAGATAGTCAAATCAATTCTTATAAGCCTTTTCACATATACTAGAAATCGGGATGTCACAATTCTCCCTGACTTCCAAGGAATTCGTCCTCGAATTCTCAACCACGTCCCAAGATGCCATCCGGGTCAGAGCCGGTTGGCTAACCTGCTCTGATACCAATTGTGAGACCCCGCTCCCTTCTGTCCTACCGGGAACCAGACGAACCGGCTATCAAATCCATGAGACCCCGAATCCGCCTTTCATCTGGATTGGCTATCAACTCTGAACGTCCCCAACCGCCCCTACCAGTGAGCCCAACGCCATATAATCTGGGGCCCAACGTCCTCTCTCTAGGCCCGTTGGCCCACTAACTGCCCCTACCAGTGAGCCCAACGTCCTCTCTCTCTCTAGGCCAGGTGGCCCACCACTGTCCGACGGTTGGCCTCTTTCTAGGCCCATGGGCCCACCCCTATCCGACGGTCGGGAGTTACTTGGTCCGGAAAGCTCGTAAGAGTTGTCTACTGTCCCTGCAATCACTACGTGATCTTTCTCTATATATACTTTGTCTTCACTCGCACGGTACCGCATACTACTTACCGGTAAGTCACCCATCCTGAGTTCTCTCAAGACACTTGACCGAAAAAGATATGTGCACTTTGATGACATAGATAACTAAATCAATTCTTATAATTTTTTTCACATATACCGGAAATCGGGATGTCACAAAAATGATAGCCAACAAGACCGGCCCGTGAGATTTTAGATTTTACTGCGTAAAATCCAAGTTTTTTTAAAAATCACAATTTTGCATCCATTAGAGTCGAACCCACGACCTAAGATATATGATTGCTTTAACAAGTCATTGCACTGTATTACATATTCTAAAATTTGTTGCCCTTAACTTATATATATTTTCTCGCGCCTAACAAGACCTTTAACAGCTTTAGTCCCGGACAGGCTCTGATAGCCAAATGTAATTCTTCCCAGAATTTACAATAGTTTGAACAATAGTAAGTATAATTATAACGATAGCTTTGATGAATTAATCGTTTATTATGCCGTTTTAAAAAACATACAAACCAGACTCATAATTTTTTCTTACAACCATAACATAGCTAGTCATGATTATTTATACATAGCATCCAAAATAAAACATTTCTCACTCAAATAAAAAGGTGATCAAAGCCCAAAATGCACTTAAGTGGGAGGTTCATTGTGTTTGTGGCAAGCGATACAAGGGCCAATGTTCTTTGTTCATTGTGTCTTACGTCTTTCGATTTTGACGATTAGAACAAGCGGTGTTTTAGTGGGTATCAATATCTTATGGATACCTTTGGGCTTTGGCTAAATTTTTGGATTCTTCTTGAGCAGGATATCCAAAAATACCTTTGGGCTTTGGATAAATTTTTGGATTCTTCTTGTGAAACGCTCCATTCTTGAGACGATTTGCATAAGAGGTTGTCATAAGATATTGATACCCACTAAATATCTTATGGATACCTCCATTCTTGAGACGATTTGCATAAGAGGTTGTCACACTCCTGATGGCAATTGCTTTTGTTCTTGGTCTTCAAAGAGCTTTCATCTCTTCTTAGATCTTCATATCGACTTCTCATTTCTTCCAGATTTGTATATTTTAGACCATTACAACGTGGTTAGTACGTTATACATCCGAAATGTGATTATAATCTTGTAAATATATATTCCCTCTATATATAGGTTGCTTCGGCAAAGCCGAGGGCTCTTGTATTCAACAACGACATTGTTTCGTGTTCTGGATCCCTCGCTAGTTCGCCTTTTGCCGGATCGCACTGTTTGAGTTTGTCGGATTCACATATCGGCTTAATTACAAGAACCGGCCTCAGTTTCTTGTTGGTTCGAAGGCGCTGCCTCGGAGTCTTAAGCGAAGATGAAGAATTGACTTCTAAAACAGATATTAGATTAGTGATCGTAATCAAAATTTAGGAAGAAAGCGATTTGACTCATAAGCAAGATCACATCCAAGGAAGAACAAAACATTGACCATATTGGCTTTGATACTTTGAGACTTAGAAAGAAAAAAGGGATTCTAAACTTGAGAATTAGATTAGAGATCGTAATCAAAATTGAGGAAAAAGCGATTTGACTCACGAGCAAGGTGGTGACTACGGCGAGACAACGAATAGAAGTTGCGTGTTTGTGGCCGAGAGAGGAGAAAACATGGAGACATCGTCAAATTAAAAAGACTACAATATCCTGTATATGATTTTATTTCTTAACACTGAATAATATTTTATAAATGATTTTTTCTTGCATAACCCATAAATTGGTTGTGCTGATTAGCAATAGAAAGCAAAACCCTAACTCTTAGAAAAAAAAAATATTCTAATTATAACTTAAAACCCAAGAAATAACTTTAAAAGTTTAAAACCCAATAATTAAAAAAAAAAACTCATAGAAAAAAGAAAAGAGACTCTCTTGGTTGGTTAAGTGTTTCTCTTGGTTAACTCCACAAAGAAGAACAATTGGTGGACTTGAAAGAAACAAGCTGTGAAGAAGTATCATAACCAACCAACCAATTGTTCTGTGCTCTGTTCCCAAATATTGCTTGTTGTGTTGGATCATTACAAATAATCGCCAGACAATACTCTCCTCCATTATTCACAAACATGTTGTACGTAGCCATCTTAAGATCAGCACCGCCAGAGAAATGCATCGTCATCACCGGAAATACCTCAATGTTGTCTGTCTTGTAGCAAAGCCTCTCGCCGGAGAAAGGTGCTCGTTCCACGTTCACGACGGCATTATCAACAGCATCCTTCACTAGGTTGCAGTAGGTATCTGGCAAGTATGTGTAAGTGGTTCCAGAGTCAATGACTATGTTCCCTTCCAAGGAGTGAAAACTTGTCCCCAACGTCTCAACTCTATTCTCTCCAACGCTGATCGCGTCTAGGTTTAGGTAATAGAATTCCGGTTTATCCGTCTTCCTAAACATATTGGTTGCTACAGTTCCATCTCCTGCCACAATAGCATTGCCTCCAAAGTTGATCTTGCTAGTTCCTTCACCGGAAAAGCAGTAAGAGAAAAGACCTAGAAAGTTCTCACCCATCTGAGAGATGAGCGATGAAGATCCCCAGTCTAGACCAACAATGCCTGAAGCGGATGGTGTTGTAACATCTGAGCTGTTGTGAGCACAACCAATGGTGGTTTCATTCATCACAAAAGGTTGTCCTGAAGTGGACAACAACGTGACCGTCTCGGTTGCGTAGGTTCCCTCGGAGTAGCTTCTGTCTACATAGTGTATCGCGTAGGGACAAGGTTGTTCTCGGCATCTTTTCTCTTTGTAGGTTGAAGATTTTGAAGGGTCGAATATGGGACCTAGTTGGTCGAAGCAGTGTACACAAGGCAAACATTGTGTCCATACGAGGTCACTTCCCGTGTCTATGAGGGCTTCGATTTCGACAGGAGGAGTACCGATTTGTAGTTTCATAAGATACTCGGAGGTGGCAAAGACGGTGTTGGCGTAAGGAGATCCTCCATCGAGCTCGTTGGTGTTAAAGTGTCGAGAAGAGGAGGAGTTGGAGCGACGGTGGATCACGTCGAAGGTGACGCCGCCGAGAGGTGGTGATGAGGCAGTGGTGGTGATTAAGAGAAGAGATGTAATGAGTTGAAAAAAGAGAGCCATGGTCATTGTTGCTGCACGAGACATGGTGATCGAATAATAGTTTTTTGGTTTTGAGACAAAGTGCATTCATGCACGTATATATATACATTTAGGACGTTTTGTAGTAATTGTTAAAGTCCTGATTTGTTAATTTCCTTTGCGGTCTTATTACTACTAAGTTACGAGTAAGTTTGTATTTTCGTTGCTAAGTTTTACTTAATTTTTTTTGGGTGTGAATGTTAAGTACTAAGTTTTACTTTTGCGTTCGGTTTTGCCATTTCTGTTTTTGCTTTGCATTAAATGGAAGTTATATCACTTTGTTATACCAAAATGTATATTCACCGCATATAGTTAGATCCAAATGTTTGAAAAGTAAACTTTGAAACTGCAAAAGTTAAAAGTTAAAAAAAAAAATTGAAAAGTTAAGGGATAAATGGGATATAATGGAAAATGGAACTAATGCATTTTAGAGAAGCAAAAATTGGAATGTAGAAACATTTTGCAAAATGGAACTACTTACGTATATATATTTTTAAAATAATTGTCGATAAATAGTTTGATTATATAACATTTTTAAGAAATATATCTATGTATATTTGGTATTTGATACGTGGGCTATATGAGTGAGCTTCTAGCTTGATTTAACCCTGAGAATTATCTTATAAAGTACTGTGAAAAGACTTTAACTTTATTTACTGTTTACCTTGTTATTACTAAAAGGGGACTAGGTTATGAGTTTTAGGACTACAGTAAAACCTCTATAAATTAATAATATCGAGGCTATGATATTTTATTAATTTATATAGATATTAATTTATTTATAAATTAATATTTATTAATTTATAGAGAAAAAATGTTTTTCGTCCATCTTTTTCTTAATTTTTTTTTCAAAATAATGTTAGTTTTAAAAACCTAAACTCATATGCTTAAAAATTGACATACAAAAAATTCAAATTATGACTACTAATCATAGTAATCGCAGTAAAATAGTTAATTGTGAACTGAATTATCTATGTAAAAATATAAATGTTCATTAGTATTAAATTTAGAAAAAATATGGCTACTATCCTTATGTTGGTGCTGAAAATGAAGACAATATCGTAATATAATTTTAAAACAGTTACTCGTAAGAAAATCAATTATTACATCTAATTTTTTTTTCATAAATTTTGAATGGAGTTAAAAAAAACAATATTAAAAGCTATTGATGTAAATAAGTAAAGAGATGATTTTCAATAAAATTTTAACCTTAAATAAAAACAAATAATGCATTAATCATATTTTAGTATATTATATCTTACCTATATATATATATATACATAAATTTTTATAATTATTAATTTATATTTATGTTGGGACCATATATTTACATAGTAGTTTCAAAAAATTTATTATTTTATTATCTTATCGAATTTGATGGATTTTTACATTGGCCCGACTTGGGACCAGAGAAATTTATTAATTTATAGTGATTATTAATTTATCGAGTATTAATTTATAGAACTTTTACTGTATATATATATAATAGGGAGGCCATGCGAGAGTTTATCAAGTGATTTGATCAAAAGAGTGTGTAGGGGAGGTGAGAGACTCCATCATTAATTCTCTCAGGTCCTTGTAACTACCTTGTAAGACCATCTTTATTGCTAGTTTCTTGTTGGTTTCTTTAGGCCTTTTAAGTTTAAAATTAAATAAAAAAAGCCCAATATTGGTGAGATCGCTCCTTATTTGGACATCAGAAGAAACTTGTCTATGTGGCGGCTTCTGATTGGCCAAAAAAAACATTCAGCCATTTCTCATCCTCTCGGCCTAAATTTTTTTGGGGTCGCAAATCATCGACCATTTCTCATCCTGTCGGCCAAAATTTTTCACTGAAGCACCTTTCTCGTTTCATTCGCCATCCGGTACAGCGTCATCTCCGGCGATGCTCGTCTTCTCCAGCGCCGATATGCAGAAGCTTCTATCTGTTTTCCATCGATTTAACAGATAAGTGATTCTCTCCTTAATCATCTTCATCCTCTTTGTCCATTTTGATTCTTCATCCACTTCCTCGTGTTCTCCATCGAGGATTTCGTTTGTAAATCTTAGAAATAGTTAAATGATCTCTCCATTTTGCATGTAGTTTCTATCTATTTCCTGAATTAGTCTCTAAATCGATGCATTGTAAATGGTTTTCTGATCTGTAAACTGTAAACGGTTCATGATCTGTAAATGGTATGTGGTTCATCATATGTGAATTGTTTTTGATCATATGCTCTATCTATTTCTATCTCTTTTAGCTTAAGTTAATGGTTCATGATCTAAATGGTTCATGATTTAAATTGTTCATGATCGGTGATGGTTCATGATGTCAATGGTTCTTGATATATCTGTTTCAAATCTTTTAATCTGATTGGTATATTGTGTCTATCTGTTTTAGCTTAATGAAACAAAGTTTGAGGATGTAAATGTTTCATCGGTATATAGTGAAAGATAATATGGTTAATGATTTTTGCAGATTTAGCTTACTCCAAAGGTCTATCTCCAGCTGTTCCTCTTCTCTTTGCTCGTAACCAAAGTTCCTCTTCTCTTTGCTCGTTACAAAAGTTAAGGTTAGTCTTCTAGTTTCGTTGATGACAATTAATGCCTAGTTAGATATGGAGTGGTTGAGGCTTGATCAATGCTGCTTCAGTTTTCATGGTTTTAAAGGGTTTAATGATTTAGGGAACTGGTTAATGAATGCTGATTCTGTGTTAGATATATGTCAACTCAATATATCTCTTTTTGCTTTAGTGTAGAGTAATGGCTGAGATTAGGTTGATTTATGATAATAAATGGGGTTTGAACCCTGGAAAACGTTTTTGCTTTTCTTCTATCAATGTTCCTTTTATTTCCTTCATCAATGTTGCACCGTTGGTTTATTTCATAGCTGGTGCTTCCTCTATTTATAAACATATTATCTTTCCTTCTTCTTCTCAGTATGTGCTTTGTCCCAAAGTTGTCTTCAGGCACACCTCTCAATATCTTGTTATCTTCGTCCCAAGCCGCCGGTTCTATTTCCCTTTTTAATCACTCGGAACATAAAACAAATATCAAAACACTCATCAATAACCAATGCATATATATATATATATATATATATATATATATATATATATATATATATATATTTATTGATGCACATAACTAAATCCTAAAAAAAAAGGTTGAATAAATGAAACTTGCCATGTATCACGTTGCTCTCTGTTCTGCAGCAACGTCAGTTTGTTGTATCCCCATTTGAATACGACTAGCCCCATTTTCTGAATGAAGAATACTCTTTATGCTATTGGAGAGCAACGTGGATTTCCTGGAATGATAGGAAGCATCGACTGTATGCATTGGGAGTGGAAGAATTGTCCAACCGCTTGGAAAGGCCAGTATACACGTGGTTCAGGAAAACCCACTATCGTTTTAGAGGCAGTAGCTTCATATGATCTGTGGATATGACATGCCTTTTTTAGACCTTCAGGTACATTAAATGATCTCAATGTTCTTGATTGCTCACCCGTTTTTGATGACATAATACAAGGTAAAGCTCCGAGAGTGAATTTCTATGTCAACGGAAGAGAGTATAAGTTAGCATACTATCTCAGAGATGGTATCTATCCAAAATGGGCAACTTTTGTCCAATCTATACCAGCTCCACAAGATCCAAAGTCATGCTTATTTGCTGAACGTCAAGAAGGCTACCGAAAAGATGTCGAACGTGCTTTTGGAGTCTTACAGGCTCGATTCGCCGTTGTTAAAAATCCCGCTCTTTTTTGGGACAAAGCAAAAATATGGAAGATTATGAGAGCTTGTATCATACTCCACAATATGATAGTAGAAGACGAACGAGAAGGATACATACATTTTGATCTTTCAGATTTTGAACATGGAGAAGGAAGCGGAAGTTCAATTGTGGATCTCTCATATTCAACGGATATGCCCTCAAACATGTGATATTCGGGATAAACCACGGCATGATCGATTGCAAGCTGATTTGATGGAGCATATCTGGCAAAAATTTGGGACGTATTGAAACCGACAATTAAGTTTTTATTGCAAAATTTAAGTTAACATTTCAAATGTATATTTGTGTTGTTTTTGGTTTAATAATGTAATAATCTAAGTAATTATCTTTATTTTCATTAAAAAAACTTCTTTTTTTTTTTGTTACAAAAAACCCATGTAAGTTTCTTCCAATGGACTATTAAAAAAACATGGTTTTTTTTAATAGTTTCTTGCTACAAATTAATTCATTAAATAATCACAAAAAACCCATTAGAAGTAATAGCAATAATCATGCTCTAAAGATCTTCTTCTAATTTCCATTGATTCTGAGTTTTTACAAGTTAATCGTAACAGTATTTAAACTTTAAACCGATCGGCGACTTTGCAAATGATTTTCGTTATTGGTTTGGATCGGTTATTTCGAACAGAACACCTTTTCATTCTTCTTACAAAGCAATTAAAAAAAATCTAAGCTGATATCTTTCCAAAATAAACAAGAAAGAATTAAAAATATAGGACAAAAAACACTACTATTGTCCCATTAATACTTATATAAAATATTTGTCCCCCTAAGACTTCTACAAATATTTTAACCTCTTCTATCCTTTTAATTCAAATTTAACAATAAAAATTAAATTCTTAAAAGTAAAAAAAAAATTACTCTTACATTGTAGAAGCCGCCTCCTACCACCCATCTCCTTCATCGTAAAAAAAAAAAGTTCAGAGAACTTCTCCTTCCTCCTTCACCGGAACTTCTTCTCTATCTCCGGTATGTTCCGGCGAACAGCCGTCCTCCTCTAAGTTATGAAGAAAACGTGAAAGTTTGTAGGTTGAAAGAGGAGAAAAAACGCTAAATTGAGGAGGGGAAGAAAAAAAATGGCGACAGAATTCTCTAAATTGAAAAAAAATATTTCAAAAATTAATTAGAAAATAAATATTATGAAAAGGAAAGTAATATATTCTCCTAGATCTGCTCCTAGATTTTCGGAAATTCATTTAACTGAATTGTAGAATAGGTATTCTATAATTGTAGAATAAAGAGTTTCCATAGAAATGAGATTCTACTAAGTTTGTAGAACAAAGAGTTTCCGTAGAAATCCAATTCTACTAAGATGTATAACAATGAGTGAACTATAGAAATATAATTCTACTAAACTGTAGAACAATGATAAATTTATAGAATACGGTTTCACAGCTTTGTAGAACATAGAAGAAATGTAGAAAACTAATTCTATATTTTTAGTAGAAAACTAATGAAATAGTAGAAAATCTATTCTATAATTTATAGATTTATAGAATGCACTTTCTACTAATTTGGAAAATATTTGTAAAACAAATGTTTAAAATTTTTTTAAAAATATATTCTATTTCAAAAAGTATTCGTAATTCCCTTTTTGATTTTTCCAAAATTTTTTAGACTGTAAAACTATTTTTTTTAAAAAATTTTGAAATCCTATAAAAGGGTATTTATGTCCAAAAGTGGCCAAATTTGAAAAAGTCTTTAGGGGACAATATTACAGATTTTTTTGTCCTATAAATATAATTGCCCCAATAAACAAAGAATTGAACTAATTAAAATCCAAAATTTCGAAACAACCAACAAATACCCAATTGAACCGAAATGTACAATTTTTTTTAAAAAAAAATTCGAATCAACGTTATTTTTACCGAACCAAATAACCGATATAATTCTTCTCAAAACCGAACCGGATAAACCGACTTTTGAACCCAACCGAACAGAGATTTCAGTTTATTTCGGTGAGATTTTGCTCAATCCCAACAAACTGAGAACCGAACAAACCGGATAAACCGGACGCCCAGCCGCTAGACTTTTTATTGTTTGGTCGAATAAATTGGTTGCTTCTCCTCAAATATCGTTCTCCCTCTCAAACAACAATGCCCGTCAAATGGTATGTCTTCATGATTTTGCAGAAGAAAAAACGAAGAATCAATCAATTCATTCCTTCACACTTGTTCAATTTCGATCGTTAATCATCAATGGCGGCGTATTTGTAGGGTTTTGTATTGGCAACCTAATCAAGGATCTACAGTAAGCAGCCAAATCCTCAACGAAGCTACACAATGCGTAGAGAGCATCAATGGCGTCAAACAAGGAAGATGGAAATCCACTCTCACCTTTTACAAACCCATGCTACGAGGTTAGTCTCTCTTCCGATCATTAATTTCTCCTTCTTCTTCTTCTTCTCATTTGGGGGGAATTTCGAGCAGACCTGGCGAATCAAGCGGATTTCCCGCGCGAATTTCTGGGGATTTCGCTGGCGGATGAGCCGAGTAAGTACTATTTCATCATCAGGTCGCAGAGGATCGTCATGGAAGCAGATTCGTCGATTCAGTTGATAATGGAGAAGCTTCAGTCTTACAAATCGCTCTCTTTACATTGAAGGGTTTCAGTATCAGCTTGGTGATTTTCGGCTTAGAGTTGGTAAAGTTGTTTCTACTCATTCCGAGAATGTTAGAGGGATAGTTATGGAGGTAATTAAGCTAAATTTGGCCTTTATCTTAGTTAGATGCTATTTTCAGTAATTGAGGATTGATGAGTATCAATGTTGATGAGGATCCTTGATGCTATTTACTACCATGTTTTTAGATAGATTCTGAAGATTGAACAGTGTAGATGATGCCTTTAGAAAATGAAATTCAGATTGTCTTGTTTAGTTGTAATCTCAATTTTAACATTGTAAATTTGTAATGAATCACCAGAAGGGTATGGAGCTATTCACATTTGGTGATGATCCTGGATGCTATTTAGTAATTAACATGTTTTAGAAAGATCATGAGCTTTTGAACAGTGTTGATGATGCATTTTAGGAGATGGAATCCAGATCGTCTTGTTTCTTGTAATCTCAATTTTAACATTGTAAATTTGTAATGAATCACCAAAAGGGTATGGAGCTATTCACATTTGGTGATGATTTTGGATGTTATTTAACAAGTTTTAGATAGATGATGAGCTTCTGAACAGTGTTGATGTTGCATTTAGGAGATGGAATCCAGATTGTCTTGTTTCTTGTAATCTCAATTTGGAGTTTGGTGGGTTGTAACTAATGGCTGTGTGTGTGTGCATTTATTCACATTTGGTGATGATCCTGGATGCTATTTAACATGTTTTAGATAGATTATGAGCTTTTGAACAGTGTTGATGATGCATTTAGGAGATGAAATCCACCAGATTGTCTTGTTTCGTGTAATCTCATATTGGAGTTTATGGAGGTATGGAGCTAATATGGTTGTATGTGTGTCTATTCAGGTGGAGTATCTTCCAATATCATCAATGGAAAAGGCAAGAAAAGTGATGGAGGAGTTTTTGGAGATATGGCATGAAGCTCTGTCTAAAAGGGCGTTGCCTGGTAAGTTTGTGAACATAGAGCTAAACTTTGGGGAGTTTGGTCTTGTAGACAGCTACACTCCACAGCACACAGCTGTTGGATACGCTCTTGTCATGGCTCACATGATTGCAACGGTTCAAGCTGTAAGAGGCTAAAACTACAACACAGCTTTCCTTTTTAGGTAAACTTTCTGAGTTTATTGATTTTAGTGATACCATTGCTCATTTTTGAATATTAAGATTAGAGCATTATTTTGGTTAGAAGAGCTAGAAAGACCAGGCTGAAATAGCTCTAGAAAACTTTAGACTGGAGCAGATTTGTGATTTTTTACCACTTGATTTGAATTTTCCGGTTAAGTTTCCCAGTGTTTTGGTTCAGTTTATGATTGTGAATCTTTGAATCTTTCGACCTTGCCCAATAACTAGTCTTTATAATATTGTTGTGAAACTCATTCGTATAATGCTCATTAAAACAAATCCATGTTCTTATGCTCTTAATGAAAAAACAAATACTGTATAAAGAAACAAACTAAGGGGATGTTATTGGAGAGTTGATTTATAAAGATTTTTAGAGTTTAAGATTCTATAGTTATTGGTTTGTGGATTTTTATATTCTTAATAGATTCATCTGTTATTCATTTAGAGATTATAAAAATCAGTTGTTATTGATGTGATGATTTTTATAATCTAATCAAAATCCATTGTTATTCAAAAAGTCTGCATTTTAATGATTCTATGATTCTGTTATAATCTAGTGTTATTGGCATAATGATTTTTTGTAATTTAATTCATAAATCATGATTCTCAAAATACTACCTATATCTCTTGGATTCTCAAAATCTGTCATATTAAAATTTTTTAATAGATTGTTTAAATCCATAAAAGTCTCTCTAAATTTTACAAATCTAACAAAACTCTTAAAAATTTAACAAATCTCATGATTTTTAAAATCAACTAAAATCTTCATAAATCCAACTCCTAAGTTGAAACTCTAACAAAAAAAAACAATAACGTTGAAAAAGACTCTCTCTTTGGTTTGGTTTGGTTTCCTAACTCCACAGTGAATAACAATCGGTGGGTTTAAAAGAAACCAGCCACGAAGAAAGATCATAGCCAACCAAAAAATTGTACTGTGCTCTGTTACCAAAAAGCTTCGTCAGCTTTAAAAACAGTATTTGGTGCCATCGGAGAACACATAATCGCCAGACAAAAAACTTTTCCTCCCATATCCATAAACACATTGTACTTATCCAAGACAAGATCAGCACCTCCAGAGAAATGTATTGTGATCACCGGAAAGACATCTATGGTCTCTGATTTGTAGCAAAGCATGTCCGGCGAAGAAGCTACTCGCTCTACTGTCACGACGACTTCCACTCTGCCTCCTTAACTTGGTTGCAGTAGCTCTCGGGCAAGTAGGTGAAAGTGGTTCCAGAGTCTATGACCATGTTCCCGTCCAAGGCGTGAAACGGTGTCCTCAACGTCTCAATGCGGTTCTCCCCAACGCTGATCGCGTCTAGGTTTAGGTAATAGAAACCACGTTTCTCCGGCTTCATAAACATATGGGCTGATACAACGCTGTCTCCTGCCACGATAGCATTGTTTGAGCTTCCAAAGTTGATCTTGCTAGTTCCTTTACTGGAAAAGCAGTAAGAGACAAGACCTATGAAGTTTTCTCCCATTTGAGAGACGAGCGATAAAGGTCCCCAACTTAGACCAACAATGCCTGAACCGGTTAAGCTTAACCATGAGCTGTTGTGAGCACATCCAATAGTGGTATTAGGCATCACAAAGGGTTGGCCTGAAGTGGATTGGATCGTGACCGTCTCGGTCGCTAGTGTTCCTTTGGAGTAGCTTCTGTCTGCGTAGTTCATTTCATAAGGACAAGTTTGATCAGGGCCGTATTCACATATTTTCTCTTTGTAGGTTGAAGATTTTGAAGGGTCGAATAGTGGATCGGGTTGGTTGTAGCAGTTTAGACAAGGCAAACATTGTGTCCATATGAGTGCACTCCGGT